AAGGGATAGTTCACCCAAAAATGACAATTTTGTCATTAATTACTCACCCTCATGTCGTTTCAAACCTGTAAGACCTCCGTTCATCTTCGGAACACAAATTAAGATATTTTTGATGGAATCTGAGAGCTCTCTGACCCTCCCATAGACAGCAAGGGTCCTTACACGATCAAGGCCCAGAAACATAGCAAGGACATCGGTAAAATAATCCATGTGACATCAGGGGTTCAACCGTAATTTTACAAAGCTACGAGAATACTTTTTGTGCGGAAAAGAAAAAAAAATTACGACTTTATTCAACAATTCGTCTCCTCCGTGTCACCCTAGGGCCATTTTGGAGAGTATCCACTGAACGTAAATTGAGTATGCTGTTTTGTGTCAGCTGCGCCAAGCGTATACGTTGTTTTCATTCAAATAAAAGCGTAAACGACGTAAACTCAGCGGTAGAGTTACTCTCACGGGACACTGCACTTATTTGATGTCACAAAAGTACATTATTTGCATCTGCTTTAAAGCCTTGCCGGTTAAACGTTTCATTCACGCGCTGTTCTGACGTGCGCTTTTTCTGAGCATATGTACACCCGAAGCGCGCGCACTAAAAACCCTGTCAAACAGCGCCTGATTACTGAACTAAGTTATCTTTTGCGCTAATACTGTTAAAACACACAAGGTTTATGTATAGACTCAGTTGGTTATGTCTAAAATGAAAGTAAACAGTTGAGAGAGAAACGGATGCGTGCCTGTATATTAAATGCATGCAGCTCTTAAAGGGACAGTACTAAACATGCTGCTGACTGTCATTAAAGGGATAGATCACCCTGAAAACCTGTATTAATTTCTTTCTTGGGCTGAACACAAAAGAAGATATTTGGAAGAATGTGGGTAACCACAGTTGCTGGTCCACATTGAATTTGATAGTAGGAAAAAAATTAATACTATGGAAGTCGCTGTGGACCAGCAACTGTTTACTTATTCACATTCTTCAACATAACATTTATGTTCAGCAGAAGAAAGAAACTCATTAAGGTTTAAAGCAACTTTTGAGAGCGTAAATGATGGTACAGTATAAAAATAAAACACTTTTTATTTTTGGGTGAATTATTCCTTTAATGCTAATAAAACACCAAAACACAAAGAGAAAAATCACTCACTACTCTTGATTTAAAAAAACGTTAATACAGTTGCTTTAATAGGAATCAATCTATATAGTGTTTTATTTTTATATTTGTTGATTCAGTAATGCTAATAAAACACAAAGAGAAAAATCACTCACTACTCTTGATTTAAAAAACGTTAATACAGTTGCTTTAATAGGAATCAATCTATATAGTGTTTTATTTTTATATTTGTTGATTCAGTTTCTTGAATGCTCCTGCTAAATACACCTATTTTACCTGAAAATAAAACAATGTTTGTTTTATTTGTATATTATGTGTATTTGTAATGTGTATCTTTGTTCTCATTTTTTAATAACAAAGATAAAATAATGACAAAGATTTTTATTTTCGACCACTTTGGCCTAAATATCCGCCATTCTTTTTTTATATTTTTGTTACCTTGATAGGCTTTGTCTTTATAATAGGGAAATTAGTTTGGCTGTAATGCTCAGACAACTTGCAAAATAGTAAAACCAACATGACAAAGAATCGTGATAAAATCGTGAATCGTGATATTTAAAAAAAAAAGAAAGAAAAACGTGATATTATATTTTTGCTATATCGCCCACCCCTACGCTTGGTATATTGCGTTGGTCGATATGTAAATGAGATGTTGCGTCTGTGTTCTTTAATTTGCGCATTGTTAGTAAATCACCCACAGAAATTTCCATGCCCATCGGCGCTGTTTTGGAATTGCGCTCTTGCGCTAATTTGCCCTGTTTAGTAAAACTGGCCCTAAATCGACATCCCTAATAAAGATACAGTTTTAAGTGCATGGTTTTAGTATGCAAATTGCAATGCAGCCTATGTGTGTTTATGGACTTTTTTAAGATAATTTGTCTATATATTTAAGGTCATTAATTTTGTGTACGCAAACTGTTTGCAACAGAGTGACTTATTGCATAAAGATGCAATATTAAGTGCATGCTTTTAATGTGTTATACATATACAAATGCAGCCTGTGTGTTCATGGGCATGTTTGTGTGTTTTTGCATGATTTGGAGAGTGTGAGCTTGCATATGTTAAGCCAGAGATGCACATTAAGTATGCAGACAACACATGCTTGGCCAGCGTGACGTTGGTTCTGCATTCTTAACGTGTTTAATGACAAACAAGGAGGCAATAGTTTCCTTAAAATTTGTGTCATTGTTATTCCAAAACTGATTTTACCATGTTGACTCTTTAACATGAACTGACTTGCTGAACAAACTGTTTGTCTGTGTCAGTAGTTGAGCTGCAAGACTGTAGAAGTCAGCCGTTCATGCCTAATGCGTTTTAAATTGCACTCGCACACAACGGAAAACACACTTGACCCAAGTATGCGACACAAACAAAATGTGTCTGTG